TCTACCGCACGCAAATGGAAAATGTAATACCTATGTACTTACGTATGTATTCGCATGCATACATACATACAAATACATGTGTATGCATATATGTACACGGACTTTGCTTGCTCAAACTGATGCTAAAGACTCATCTTTATGTTTAGGGTCTGGCTGTACATACCATCGAAGACCGAGCCAGGTAAAAGATCCTGATGCACATCTTCGCAAACAGAAAAACCCAAGCTCTCAACTACTCTAAACCTCAAAACTCCTCAATGCGAAAAACTAGATTGCCCTGTTTGTATCCAGCCTACGGAAACCCTAAACCCCAAAAATCCGTAAACTAAGACCTTAATCGCTGAAAGCTTGACCTTCACAGCCGCAAGACACAATTGTGGGCAGTCCTGCATCGGTCCGCCAGATCCCCAGCCGTGCCCAGGCTCTGGCATTTCCCGAGGATAGCACACCTCAGTTCCAGGTTTCTCTCAACCGACGGTCTCGACCCACAAGTCAATAGACTGGGCGAGGCGTCTGTCCAGCTGTTGCAGGGCTAGCAAGGACAGGTTGTTCTAATAAGGTATGTAGGCCAGTCCCTGCCGAGTCGAGCCTGGATGACTGTACTCAACATCTACTGGCTTTTTCAACTGGCTAGAACAGCTGCAAGATGCTCACTTGCGGTTTCCTGGTCATTTCCTGCCATTGCGCGGGCAAGTTGAAGAATGTTGAAGAGGCTGCCGACTCATCGGGAAGAGGTACACAAAAGCATTGGATCCCGCCAGGACCAAAGAAAGGTCCGAAAGCTGATCAACCCAAGCCCAGTTAACCCCAACCCCAAATCTTCCAAGTTTGGGTGCCAGAGCCGTTAAAACAGAAATCATACGAAATCCGCCTCATGAACTGCAAGACTGACTCTTAAGGTCATGGCAGCGTGGCCGGAAGAGCTGTTCTCCTCCTCGGGGCAGGCAGACCAAGGCCCTAGGCAGACCTGACATCAAAATGCCACATGTCGAATTCTCAAAGAACCTGCGGCGCAGTGGGCAGCGCGACCGATGAGCACGCACCTTGGCTGTGGGCTCCGCCTGAAATTCTGATGATAACAGTACGAAGCTAAGAATGAATGATAATAAGAACAATAATGATAATGATAATGGTAAGCTCCATGCCCTGGCTATGGGCCACAGAGTCACAGAGCCTCTCTTCAGTCTAAGTCTCAGACCCACCGGAAAGTAATGTTGATGCGCTCCTGGGCCAGCTGCTCAGAAGGCTCATACACTTACATACTCTCGCTGCATTTTTTTGCTGTTTGATTGCAGGCTTGGCCTCTGGCGTGTCTGATGGGCTCCCGAGGGTTGCACTTGGGCACGAAGTGCAGACAGTGCCTCTGCATACGGCCCTGGCCACAAAAGCAGGAAGCCAGGGGCATGCGTCGTAAGCGAGACGGAGAGCCGCGCAAGCTGCAGGAGAGTAGAGAGACTGCGTGGCTGGTTTGCAAAGCTTGTGGACCTCCATGGTCAAGATGTCCCCGTTGCAGAGGTCCGTTTCAACGATGCTTCCGGTCACTGGATCCTGAGCAGGCTCGCATCGACTGGGGTTCAGCAACTACCCAGCGGGAACGTATATGGTGCAGGCTGGACAGGGGCCGCTGATGTCACATGAAGTCGTGCCGTTCCCCTGCATAAAATACTCCTCTCCTCATCAACGACCCCTCTTCTGTGAGGCGAGCCACTTTCTCATGTTCAACAAACATCGCAACGCATCCTTCTTGCCGCACTAGGGGCCTGAATAATTACCTATTTGGGGTTCCTTATTATAGTATTATATATATATATATATATCCCAAAACCCTATTCTAACACGTCTTAGCCTGAGCCATGCCCAGCTACCGACCTGAAAGTGCATTGGCAGCTCGCTTTGAAGGATGGAAAAAGCGGCTGAATGAGCTATTCCATGGCTTTCGAAGGGCCCCCCCCTCATTCCCCCCTCGCACTTTGCCAAAATGTTCTGACACACCCAAAACATCAAGATTCGCTTTGAAAATCGCTCATTAAGCAGCATCTCCTTTCAAGCTGCGCGCAGGCTTTTCCGTCCATTTCCGTCCATGCCCGCGTGTTGGACAGAGAGTCACCAAGCCTCGCCAATTTGCCGAGGCAGTGCACCATTTTCTGCCATCAGATCTACAGGCTTCCACATCCTCATCTTGCAGGTCTATGGCAAGCAATAGGCCGCTTTGCGGCAGGGTACCCGGCTGCGCCGGGTGAAACTGGAACAGGAGCAAGATAGCTATTCAAACATGGCTGCATCCACCATATCGTCGAACATGCTGACATCGCCTAGGCCCTGACGACGCAAGACCGGCTCCTAGCGCGAGGTGAAAGGTACTTCGAAGTCACCAGGCTAACTGGCAATAGCTAGCCTTGCACAGCCAGGACACGCGACTGCCGGTGGCAGCTGAACTTCACTGCTTCAAGTTTTGACCTAGTAGCTGCTCCGATGCCCGCTGTCCTCCATTGTCAGGTCGACGACTGTAGAGACGCGGTCTTCCTTCTCCATACCGGCCCACATCTCAACTATTGCCTGTTCCAAGGTGGCTTGCCAAGACATTGCTGGTGAGAGGGGGGAAGAAGTCCACCAGCCAACTCCGCGGGTCACAAGATACACCGAGACCAGCGGGTTCGGCTGGTGAGTTGACGATGAATATCGTGCTGATGCTGCAAAAATCTGGACAAACCCGAATATGACGATGACGATGACGGCCATGATGATGATGAGGAGGAGGACGGCCCATGATTATGGTAATGGCTTGTGGCCAAAGCGTTATGATGATGATGATGATGATGGTGATGGTGATGATGTTGATGCTTGTGATGATGATGATGATGATGATGATGATGATGACGATGGTGATGATGATGATGATGATGATGAGGAGGAGGAGGAGAATGGTGAGGATGGTGGTGATGCTGATGGTGCCTACGATTCGATGCTGATATGGTGGTTGTGGTGGTGGTGGTGGTGGTGGTGGTGGTGGTGGTGGTGCCACTGCAGGTGCTTGTACTACCGGTGCTGCTCAGATTGCGCTGGCACTGCACTATTGCAACTAGCCACCGCCACCGTGCTGCAACTTGCGAGCCTCAGCACCCACCACGAAATCCAGCTTGTCCTTCTGCCTGGAATATAAAAACATTGCCGAACATGGTCAATGCAAACAGAAAGAAACAGCATCAAGCGAAAGACCTTATACGAAAATCAGAAGATGTAAGAAGCCCGGCCACCCGCTGGTGGCATTTAATCAGATGCGGCTCAGCCCAATCCGAAAACATGACCAGGGACATCTCGGTAAAGCTGTCTACGGTTCGATCCGCAACCATGGCCAACATCAGAAAACATAAAGTTTCAAAAACGCCCAGATCAAACAAAGGCAAACATCGGAATCGAAAAGCCTTAATCTTGAGAACAAGGCGTTTGCATATCCTTCGGTCAAAAAAAGACCTTCGATCCGGCCGGAAAAGCGATTCCTCCCCACCTGTCCATGTCCGTTTTTGTTTTGGCCATGACCGTTGCAGCGCAACGGCAACCCGAAAGCTGTTCCGGAGGAGCAGATCGTGTACCTGATTTTGATGTTGCTCGTCCGCCGCTCACGTGTTTGACGGATTCGGCTTTCTGTTTCCTGTCAGAAGCTTCTGCCTTGTAGTTTGTTCATTTTGCTCGATAGTTTCGAGCTCACAGGGAAAGCCTGTCTGGCAGTAGCGTCCGTGCCTTGGCCTCCTGGATTCCGGCACCCAGGAACCGCGCAGAAGCACGCATCCCTCACACTCCCTCGACTGCGCTCTTATCCGCGTTTTCCTCTCCCTCAGGGGGCCGTCTACAGCAAGTGCAGGACTTGGGCTTAGGATGGACTTGCTTCTCTAATACATGCCCCGACCCCGAGTCTGCAAGCAGCTGAGTTATTTTTAGAGTCTGACATGACCCCAAACCCTAAACCTTAACCCCTCAACCCTAAACCCTAAACCCTAAACCCTAACCCCTCAACCCCTAAACCCTAAGCCCTAAACTGTTCTGAGCAAGCGGCTCGGTCCAGATCTCCACCGCAGAATCTGGGGCTGAGGAGGCCAACAAAGGAGCCTCCAAGTCCTGGAAGCGCTGGCTCTTTGAAGATAATACCTTAATAATCGGAAAAAGATATTTTAGGGGCCTTAACAATTGGAATAGGGTTTTGGGGTATTTGGGGTATAATATACGATAACTATAATAAGAAGCTACCGAAATAGTATAGGTAATTATTAAGGCCCCTATATTGTTCAGACGCTCCAAGCAGGGCACCGGGATCGGGGCTTGAGGGTCCTGGGAAAAGCCGGCATCATCACAACCACGAAAAGCCAACCAAGAGGATGAAGAGAATGGTAAATGGTAAGATGGTTATGGCGATGACGATAATGAAAATGAGGCAGTTATGTAGATATCAGCCGATGAAACAGACAGTAATCAGTAATGGTCGAGTGGTTTTTGGTGGTGCTTCAGCTGGCAGGGGCAGCAGCGTCTTCGATAGTGATGTGGAGAACTGCTTGCATCATTGAATGTGATCTTTGTCTGGACGATTGTCATAGCAACAGTAGTGGTACAAGACAGCTTGGGGGATATGGGGACTTGGAGATACCTTGATAGCAACAACAGTTGTACTCGCAGCATCTTTCGCAGTCAGAGCAGCACTTATAACTTCTACCCTCTAAACGGGGGCTGAGTTGAAGATTGAAGAGGCAGAGTTGGTGCTTTTCTGGGGTCCGGATGTCGGCTTGTCCAGGACGGCATGGCATCGTGCAGAATCCCGGCTGTTCGGGTGCTGTTGGCTTCGCTGCAGATCCTGTTTTGACACGCAAAAAGGGGCATGCACGCAAGTGCTGCCAGATCTCCTGTACTCTGCTGTGGTTTCAGATAGATTCGAATCTGCGGATCAGCCCTGCCTGGCCTTGTAGGCCGGGAAGGTTGCATTCGACGGTTGTTTGTACACTATAGGTCATTCAGGCTTGGAAATGTATTTATTGGGATGGGAGCGCACGCGGCGTCGTTGGCGTAGCAGCACGCTAAGACGCCGCCAAGCACCAGCTCAAGAATGTGAAGTCTTCGGCACAGCTGCAGGTCAGACAGTTTCGGTCCCATCACGGAGACAAGGGATATTTCGACCACGCAACAGTGCGGGTGCGGCAGTTTCACACGAGTTCTGTGAATGTCTTCATACGATGGGGGACCGGGTCTGACGCACAGGCAGACGAAAGACAAATTCATCATTCTCAGGGCTACTGTGTTTCGTGAAGTGCACGATTGAAACACAAGCCTCAACCCTACCAGTTCTAGATGCGAAGATTGTGCAAATACTGGTGAAACCACATCTTCGCATGAGGGCCATGCGGCCATGCGGTGTCTGGCTCTGCTGGCTCTGCATGGTACAATGCACAAATCATCAGCACTTGATCCTTGCCCATACTTAAACAAGCAGGAAGCAAAACTCAGCAGGACACCTGAAGAGCTGAACTGTGCTTAAACTCGCGGACAGATGAAATAGGCTTGGTCCACCCACCCGTATGCTGGGCGGGCGTTGCATAGCAGCACGCTAAGACGCCGCCAAGCACCAGCTCAAGAATGTGAAGTCTTCGGCACAGCTGCAGGTCAGACAGTTTCGGTCCCATCACGGAGACAAGGGATATTTCGACCACGCAACAGTGTGGGTGCGGCAGTTTCACACGAGTTCTGTGAATGTCTTCATACGATGGGGGACCGGGTCTGACGCACAGGCACACGAAAGACAGATTTATCATTCTCAGGGCTACTGTGTTTCGTGAAGTGCACGATTGAAACACAAGCCTCAACCCTACCAGTTCTAGATGCGAAGACTGTGCAAATACTGGTGAAACCACATCTTCGCATCAGGGCCATGCGGCCATGCGGTGTCTGGCTCTGCTGGCTCTGCATTGTACAATGCACAAATCATCAGCACTTGATCCTTGCCAATACTTAAACAAGCAGGAAGCAAAACTCAGCAGGACACCTAAGGAGCTGAATTGTGCTTAAACTCGCGGACAGATGAAATAGGCTTGATCCACCCACCCAGACAGTCTCTGACCGTATGCTGAGCGGGCGTTGCATTCTCGGCCGTTGCACAGGATTAGAAAACTCTGGTTGTTCTAGATATGTCGGGCTCGAACCTTTAGTTGGCACGCCGTCATCTTGAACACCAACACCTGAAGCTCCAGATCAGCACGTGATTTCGGTGTAATGCAGCAGGGCATGTACGGTGGGACCGGTGGAACAATAAACTGTGTACTTGTAATATGAAAGCTAAGTCTGCGTCCACACTGGAGCTCTTGCAATCATGACTGCTGCACGCAGTCGCATGCAGATCGCATGCAGCAACGGAAGAAGACTGATTAGTCTCCGAAGCACAGATGCTTGATCTGTGTGTTTCGGCACCGGGCAGCATCTGCAATTGGATCCAAGAAGGCTCACTTTGGCAAGCCTCCTTCACCATGCTTCACCGAAGCACGACTTGGCAACATCCCTGGCGCCTAAAGAAAGAAACTGAGTTTTCCATCCGCACCAAGCACTTGCGTGTAGGCTGGCTCGTGTCTCAAAATCGTGCATGCCTGGGTGGTATTGATGTTGGCTTCGTGGGGTGCCGACATCTCACTCGGCAGGGCGACAGCTGTGTCCATGCCGTCTGCATGACTGCACGCCGTGGCGATTTGAGATTCAAGCTCGCTGTTGGGAAAACCTGCTCCTGCTGATGCCTCTGCTTGTGCTGTTGATTCGTAATGACAGGGCCCGTGTGGCAATGGTAGCGGGGTTTCTGTAGGCATGGAATTCTGGCTCTGAAGACATTTCCGCGGCCCTTTGCCCCTCACTGGCTCCAAGCGGAGTGGAGCTGCTTTTTGAAAGCCCGGAACAAACAGGCCGTCGATGTTTCGGATGCTCTCCTGCGCTGCCCTGTCGCGGAAGCGGATCACCGCGTAGCCTCTCGACTTCCCGTCTGGAAACAATGGCATGTCCATTTGGAAGTCCGTCAGGCCCTTCGACTCGAGGAAATTGAGCAAGGTTTCCGCCTCACACTTTGCAGGGATGTTGCGCAAGAAGAGCGTCCCCCCAAATTGTGCCTCTTGGTCCTTGGCCCTCAGTGGTCTCGGGAACGAAGCCATGTGGGTCATTCGGCCCTGAACGAATTACTCAATGCGAGAGATACCCTAAACGGGCGCAGCTTTGTCAAAGTCAAATTGACTGAGCCGAAACTATCGGACAAAACACTTCACCAAGCGAGCCCTAAAAACATTGGTTTACTGCCTTCGGGTTCGAGATGGCTGAGGGTGTAGTGCTCGCAACCCACAGCACACCAAGCAAAAATGAAAGACCATCTTAAGAACTCAAGTCGAGCACTTCAGCTGCGCGGATATCCTCGACGAGCTGCCACACGATGGAGTTGTTTGGAACTCGAATGCCAACCTCGCGGCGTTTCCAGACCTGGCAGTGGCTGAACTCGACTTAGGATCTTCGGATCACTGGTTCGTTATGTTTTGCTGGCGATGGTCGACATGAGGCTTCGGTGCACGCAAACGCCAAACGAACGTGCCCGTGTGACACAGTCTGGTCTCTGTTCACCTGCATCCTCGCTCCAATTACTGTGCTACGGTAACATGGCTGTTGGCACTACAGTCAGAACGGGGATTCAATGCTTGCAGGAGAAGGAGCGGCAACATTCTCCAGCATTGTCCCCCAAACCCCGTGGCAAAACTTTGGGGCTCCTCTTTCGGAACTCAAATTCGATCGCCAGGCACGCTCCGTGCGCTGATGCAGTGCCGCTGCTCAGTTTCGATTATAAAACCAGTGGTGCTGTTCGCATGTCGCAACCAGCCTCACTATTCGGCCTCTGGGGTTTCTTCGTGTGGTCTCCTTCTGCCTGCGGCATACCTGTAGTCTCCATTGTAGTTCCTTTCTGGGGTTACCTTATAGAATCCTTAATATAGAATTGGTTAGACCAAAAAAAATAACTACAATGGAGACTCTAGGTGGGTTTTGGAGTTTTGGGATAATGTTGGAGTGGTCCCGGGACCTGGCGCTGGTCCTCTCTGCAGTCTTTCACTCTTTGGGCTCTTCGCTAGCTTACTTCTTTCTGATGCTCAAGTTGCTAAGCGAAAGAAAAAGAAGAACAACCTCAACCAGAATGATGAGGAGGGGAGGCGGAGAAGGAGGATGATGATGAGACTTTTCTCATCCCGTCAATGCAACCATGATGATCACCATGGGCCGATGCTGCAACGAGCTTGAACACCAATGCAGGTTCCTCAAAGCTGATATTTGCCAACACGAGGCGCGAACTTTGCCACGATGCTCCGACATACTGTAAATAAAAATCTTCGCACACGTGGGCAACATCAACAGCCTGTCGATTTCGTCTGAAGCCACCATAAACGAAGTGTTGAAGTGACTGGCATTGTAAGAGAGCAGCCCTTTACCCGGGGTAATGCCCCCCCTCCACCTTGCTTCGGCTCTTGTGGTCCATGACAATCCGCGGCACTTCGCCAGATGCCCGGAGTATGAAGGTGTAGGGTCCTAGGTGGCTGTGGCTATGTGTAAACTTCTGCGAGTACCAAACTGAGAACACACTTACCGCAACCTCTGTGACACGACCGTAGCTGTCACAAGTCTCCATATGGGTATATGTGCACATCTTTATTCGTTTATCTGCATTTACTTGCTTGTTTGTTTACTTACTTGACATACATACACAGCTGCTGCGATAGGCGGTACCGTTCTTTGCGCTGCTTCTGCAGCTACCTGCGGACATTGCTCCTGCGGCTGCTCCTTGCTGCTGCTGCTACTATTTGTTCGCCTCTCGCTTTGTTGAGAATCTATGCTGCGACTATTGACTACAACGTCTGCTGCTGCTTCTGCTTCTGCTGCTGCTGCTGCTACGACTACTACTACTGCTGCTACTACTACTACTACTACTACTACTACTACTGCTACTGCTACTGCGACTGCGACTACTACTACTACTACTACTACTACTACTACTACTACTGCTGCTGCTGCTGCTGTTACGACTATTGCTACTACTACGACGACGACTACTACTGCGACGACTGCTACTACTACGACTCTACTACGACGACGACTACTACTACTATTACTGCTACTAGTACTACCACTACTTCCACGTCTACTTCTGCTACTACTACGAGTACTACTTGTACTTCCACTTCTGCTTCTACTACTGTTACAACAACAACAACAATTTCAATTGCACGCGGCGC